GTTTAGGGTTCAAGGTTTAGGGGATCTAAAGACTTCTGGTCTCGCTACCCTAAACCCTCAACCCTGAGGCTGTTCATAGGACCCCCAAATCTTGAGCCATATTCTAACCTCCATAAAGAGGGTTATAGAAGGGATTAAATGGGGGACTACTATAGGGGTTATTAAGGGGGACACTAGGAGTTTAGACTACAGCTCACTTGTCTTTAGGTCCGCGCCAGTCGGTGCGAGCTCTTGGCAAACATAGGCTTGCTGTTTTCCTGTTGCAGTGCATCACCAAACGCGTCCATCATCTGCTTACTGGGAGTCAGTAGGGTATACGGGACGTATTATGTAGGGTTTAGGGCTGGTACGGAAAAGGGATTATGTTAGACAGGGATACATTCCCTAGGTAGGGCATAAGTCAACATACTAAATAGGGTTTAGGGTGTCGGATTCGTAGGGAATAAGGGAATAGAGCACCTAGGGATATCTTCCCTTACTCCCTAAAACCACCAGTAAGTCCGTGAAACCTGCCAAGTTTCAGGAACATTGCTCAGGCAGGGAAAGATAACCTAAACCCTAAACCCTTTCAATTTTAAGCTAAGCGGGACAGACAAAGGCTTTGCTGGCGGCCGTTCGGACAATGCAGGGACTAGGTGTATAGACTAAGTAAGGCAAGATGGTATGGGAGCTTGAGATTAATCCTTGCAATCCTTGAGGCGATTTCGATGTAGTCTCTGTATTTTCCGATATGTCTTCATGGTCCCTAATGACCCCTACTGGAAAACGAGAGAGTTTGTTTTCATCCCTAAGCTTAGATCGTATGTATGCAGGTATGCATGGATTTATTAATGTATGTATGTGCGCATGTACACATGTACGCATGTACAATTGTATGCATGCATGTATGTCTGTATGTAGATAAACCTTTAAGGAATATACTATAGCTTCAGTGCAGGGTTCACATCCTGGCCTATATGGGGTACAAGTATACTTACTACGCCCCCCTGCCATCATAGTCAAGAATGGCTTCCGCACGTCAGCCGCTGCAGAGAAGATCATTCGGTGGCTGAAGGTGCATGGATTACCTGCCCTACTGACCTTTCCTTCAAGCATGCAGCGATCATCGGTGACGTGTGGTCCTGGGAGACGTTGGATGACTTCTCCGCATCATCAATGCTCAGACGCATCTGCAGCTCATGCTGCAAGCACACGGCCCTGTGGCCCCGCTGCGAAAGGTCTAACGACTTGCAATGATGGAACAGGATACTCTTTTTCTCCCAGAGCCTGACTCAGAACGTTTTTACACAGAAGTAGCTGGAACATTGACCCCTCGGGCTCATAGCGAAGCGAAAAGAACAAGTACCAGGCACCGTCTAGGGTTCATACGTTTCATTACGGTCAAGATCAGAGGTTCCCCTGTCACGTGTCGAGGACACCTAAACCCACCCAAACTAACAATGTATGTTGGCCCATTACCTTTTAAGTGGGCTTTGCATGTCTATTTCAGCCACTTTTGAGGTCCTGGCTTGGGCGGCGTTATTAGCCTAAATGAAACCCTCGTTCTCGTACAAGAAGGTTCCATAATCTGTTGGTAGCCCCAGAGACCCACGAAGTAAACCTTCAGCCCTGAGCCCTAAGCCCTGCTTGAACCTTGAACGAAAACACTTACTAAGACTTCCGAAATACCAATAACTGGGTTGGCCTTTGTGATATCTAAATATGTTCTCCCATGTTGGTTTCATAAGGACCCTATAATACCCTAAGGGTCCAAGGACCCAAATAATAGGAATTTAGGGCCCAAATACCATTAATATCATAGTATTGGGGCCCTAAAACCCTATTATTTGGGTCCTTGGACCCTTAGGAATTGCATTCAACACGAAAGAACCTGAAATTCTAAGCCGCGTAGTTCATGCCTCGACGCCCCCAAGCCGTGACAGCCCTGTGCAGCTCCCCAAAGGGTCCATGTAGCTCTTTCGTACATACAGACACGAGTAAATGCATGTTTAGGATTTAGGGTTCAGGCTCTAGAGTGCATACAGTATATGCGCAATGCTAAAGGTTGGGGTTCCCAGATGCAAATCAATATTATTTGGCTACATGGACCCTTCGGGTTAGGAAACCGTGGTGGACGCGAACATCACGCAGGAGTCCGGTCGAAAGGGGAGGTTGCCCTTCTACATGCTTTGCCGAAAACCCCAAACCCTAAAGGCTTGCCTAAAACGCGAAACCGTAAACCCTACAGGTTCGCCTAGAAGTTGCAACCCAAAACCCAAGAGCTCTGCCTAAAGCCTGAGCCCTTTGCCTCCTGTGTTGAAGGCAGGTTGTGATATATGAGTGCAATGTCCTCGCGAAGTACCTTAACGCTGCAAGGACGCAAAACATGGGGTTCAGGTCCAAATGCTATGCTCTGAATGGTATTTGAGACCTATAGCTCTAATGTTTGAGTCCTTGGACTTTTAGGGAGTAATTAAGGCCCAAGCGCCCGCTTAGCACATTGAGCGGGGGAATGACAGCCCTCAATCTTCAGGCGTCCCCTTGCACCATACTTAATTTGAAGATACTCTATACGCAAACTAAGACAGGCCCTCCGCATGCCGGATTCGAAAGTGCTGCTTGGCCTTCCCCTCCCAGTGGGTATTCCCAGTGGGTATCCTTGAATTTATTGCGGCAGTACAATACAAAATATTAAGATCAAAAGGTCAACCCTCGATACACTGGGCATGCCCTTACCCCAGTATTGCCAGCTTTTATTGTCCAATTGACTCTAATACCGGGGTAATGTCCCTAAACCCTAAACCCTAAACCCTATAATCCCTAAACACTGAGCCCCGATCCCAAAGCCCTAAACCCTCCTTCTGGCAAGGACAAAGCAGGACATGCTGTTGAGGCTGCAAAGGACCCGCAGCTTGCATAGCATAGAGGTCAAAATCAAGGGATGTACATTTATGTGTATACACATACCCTAAGGGTCCAAGGATCCAAATAATAGGAATTCAGGGCCCAAATACCATTAATGACATAGTATTTGGGCCCTAAAGCCATATTATTTGCGTCCTTGGACCCCTTAGGGATAGAGAGGGGTCTAGGTCTTAGGTATGGAAACCCTAAACCCTGAACCCTAAACCGGTCATAGGGGGATCCTCCAGGTCGACACAGACAAAAAAAGAAGGGAAATCAATTTCCAGAAAAGCAATTTATGAACAGGATTTGTCTAATTGTGTGTAAGGGTAGACAGGGCTATTTACCAATGGAGAAGAACGGAAAATCAAATGGAAACTGGGTTGATATGGGCGACCGCCTGTATTATCGTGTAGGAGCGAAGGTCGGGCAGTGATAGAAACATCCAGGTATGAACGGAACCCTCGTAAAACGATAGCCCCCCCAACAGCGATACCCCGAAATGGGCGACCTATAAGGGTCCCATCCAAAAGCAAAGATGTGGGGCATCCAGGTGAGGGATCGGGCAAAGCACTCTAAAACGAGAGGTATGAACACCGCAGTGTGCCAAAACCCTGCAAAACGATAGCCACCCGCCCCCTTTTTTTTTTATTATTATTATTTTACTCTTTATGAGCAAGCTTCCCAGCTGCTTATATAAGCTACTGTCAATTCTCGCCCGATTAACTAACGGACCCTCAATGCGGTTCCCTCGTGTAGTTTAGTATAATCCCTAATCCTTAACAAGAAAACCTTGCAGATGAAATTCTGTAGGGAACATTGACATGTAGCTCGTATTGGGAATTATAGAGATGATCTTCAGGGTTTGGATCTTGGGCGCCAGGACGCGCAGGAGCTTGCGGTCTCTTTGAACGACCAGGTGGGCTGCTTTTTGAAGCCATACATACACCAACTGTTTCATTCTGCTTGTACATATTTCACATATTCTAGCTTCCGAACGGTTACCTATGGTGGATACTAAAAATCCTGCATGACACTAGGCACTTCCTGCATGACCCTAAGCACTTTATAGACTGGGAATTATGGTACTGTAGTATACCAAGTTGATGCAGGATTCTTAATATGAACAGCATGTGAGTAGTATTTTATTTGGGGATACTATGGGCCCCAATATAGAGTAAGATTCTATCCTCCTTTTTGGGTATTCTATTTTACATAAGGAATATAATCTTACTAGGTTCAACCACCAAAAAAACACTACTCATGTGGAATTTGTAGGAAGGACGGATTCCCCAACATTTTTAGGGTTTAGGGTTTAGGGCTTAGGGCTTCGAGGCTCATGGGACTTAAGAGCAACTTGTAGCTGGGGTTAGAACCCTACCGATAATCCGGGGTACCCCTTTCAAGGCCATTGAGGGAGGTTATGAGTAGGGTTCTAGAAGCTCAGTTATAAGTAGGTACTGAGTTCCATGAATTTTTACCCTAAACCCTAACAACTTACTTACTGGTTCCTAGTAGGGAATAAGCGAAGACACTCCCCATATGATATGGGCTGTTCTCAAAATTATTGGCCCGTTTTGGCTATACGTTATAATACGGCACCTAATATTTAGAAGTACCAAAAATGGTACGGAACTACCCATATATTCCCTTATTCACTTCACTACCAAACCCCAGGAAGTTTTAAGGTTCAGGCTTCCCACTGTCACAGCTGTAAGAGGTTGATGCTGGCATCGAAGCGGTTTAGGGTTTATAGTCCCCCTTAAGTAGATAGAATATGGGGTACATGGGGATCTTAGTATAATATATCCAAAGCCATACTCTCTCTACTTAAGAGGGACTATAGGCTTAGGGTTTTCGGGTATACGGTCATTTAGGGGGTCAGCTTGTAGGCGCACGCCCGAAGCCAAGCTTTGAAAAACATATGGGTAGTTGTCACAATTATGGCCCCTTTTTGGATCCCTGGAAACAAATATATTATGTGGGTTTAGGGTTTAGGGTTGTCAAAATTATAGTCCCTTTTTGGATCCCAATTAGAATACGGCACCTGGTATTTAGGGTACCCAAAAAAGGGACCATAATTTTGACAACCACCCATATGGGAGTTGCCCAAAATTGGGAATATTTTATTGGGGCGGATTATAGCATTTGGGGTCTATATTGAGGTCTCCCTATTCGTGGAAACTACCATCTAGCTGGAGCATTGTTGAGCTAAACCCTCAAACCCTAAACCCTGTTCTGTATGAATTAGCTTCCGAAGCCTAGATCCCTCAATACTAGCATGCAGCACCCTCGGCAAGAGTTTGAAGCTCGAGAAGGGGTATGGTTTAGGGATTTAAGTCTACAAGAGCTCAGGGCATGGGGAGACATGGGGGTTTCCCATGATTAGGGGTACCTTTTTATGGGTCCCTATAATAAGAACTGTAGTATCTGAGGGTCGGTCTCAATCCGGGATGTAGGTCTTAGTGGAGAGACTCAAGCTAGCAATTAAACGCTCAACCCTCAACCTGAAACGCTAAACCGCAAGGGCTTCGAGTAGCTGCTGCTCATAATTAGCTTAGAACTCATGTTTCGCGCTCAAGTTGCATCAAGCTGAATAATGGGCTCTTAGGTTGAACAATGTCGGGGGTCCACAGTACTGGGTCCCTAAACCCTAAAAGGGACTACAAGGTCTAGAGTCGGACTTTGGGGCATGTGACATATCATCTGATGGTTGCGGAAAGTGTAGGCTTACAGAACTTGAATTTTCGCAAGCCTGCTTGGCGGACCTAAACCCTAAACCCATCGGAATATTAGGGTTATATTGGGGTTATATGGGGATAATGGAACAGAAAATGGAAACTATTTAGGATTTAGGGTTCAGGGTTTATACCCTGAACCCTAAACCCTAACCCCAAATGCTCCCCGCATGGGATCATTTTAGACATTGGCCGCCCACTTGGGGGGGGACCATGAATCTACGTCCTACCTCGTGTGCATCCCTATGGTTTGAAGTTTAGGGTATATGCTTAGTTTAGGGCTTAGGGTTTAGGGCTTAGGGTTTAGGGCTTAGGGTTTAGGCCTAAGGTTCAGGTTTAGGGTCACGTGAGCCCATAACGATGTCTGCTCATCATTTTCCATCTCCCTGGTCCTTGGGATGTAACGGGGCAGTTGATTGCAGTGACTTTTGGGATTCTGCAGGGTCTCCCCAAACCCTAAACCCCTAAAACCTAAACCCCTAAACCCTAAATCCCTAAACCAGCCCGGTGGGGTAAACACACCCGTAGCAATACAGGCCTAAGTTGCTGTTAGGGAACTTAAAGTAACCCAGAGGGTCCATGTACCCAATAGTCAGGTACTTGGGATTTGGGTAGTAGGAATTATAGTAATGGTTTTGGGTAAGTATATGGTTATTAGATACTTGGACCCTTAGGGTAAGTTACTAGAGTAAGGAAACCGTATTAGTTACTATATAACCGTCATATGGTAACTTAATTTAAGTTCCTTGGCAGCAACCCAGAAGCAGTCCGAGAAAGTCAACTGCAATCTCCATCCTGTCCCTGCAAAACTAAGTCAGAGGCGACTGGAAGTTTGAGTGCAAAACTAGACCCGAAATTCTAAACCTCAACCCTAACCCTGACTGTCCAAAGTATATGGTTATCATATACTCCCATAAACCTACCGTAAGTAGGGATTACTTGTATAAGGGACACAGAGTATATGATTGGTGTGTATTGGTCCCTCAGAAGAGGGAGAGCGCCCACAACCTCTAGTAGCTGGATTGCTGTGCTCCGGAGACGAGCCCCCTCTCCGAACCCCTACCCACAGGGACTTTTGGGATACAGCCTAAACCCTGAATGGGGATTATAAGGGGATCCGAAGGCTTTCTACTGCGAAATCTCAACATGGGCTTCCTTTATCCAAACAAGCAAGCATCGAAGCGGTTCAGGGTTTGGGTTTATGGTTTAGGCTTTAGGGTTTAGTCCACGTGAGCTACCGTCAGCATTAGGCTTGCCGAGGGCCAAGGAACCGTTAAAGGTCGAGACGGGGGGTACTTTTGGAAGTCTAGTGTAGCCCTGAATATATTCCCTAGTAGGAGCCCATGTCCATTAATCATATAGGAGAAATTAATCCCCATAATCCCCTATTCAATCCCAGTTTCCATGTACTTTTCAATTTCCCCATTTGATTCTGCATTAATTATATGGGACATCTTGCTATAGTTCGAATAGATCTCCTCAATAGAGGAGAGCTCATCAAGATGACGGGTACCGGAGATGTGGGGTTCGGCTCGTGTCGTGATTTCAGGACTGGTATGGCTCCAAAATTATGGTTTGGGCTCCAAAAATTAAGAAAGCAGGACCATACAGCTATCATAGAACTCTGATAGCGTCGTAGATTTCGCCGTTGGGGTTACCAACCTCCTCGTATTATCCTAAGCCCTTGTGCCGCAGATGTCCAGACTGTAGCTGGTGAGATCACCCTGTCACGCTCTGCAGCCACTGAGGGAGTATATCTCTCTGCCTTACCTTCCCTAAGACACATGAAAGTCCGTATGGGTCCTTCAACAATCTAAGCCCTTTATCCCTAAACCCTATAAAGCCTAGGTGAGTTTAAAAAGGACCCAGCTCCTGGTTCCATGCTTGCTTATGGGAGTGGAACTCCTTTGCCATTTGGACATGAATTAGAATCCGAGTCTCTATAATCTCAGTCAGGATCCCTCAACACCAGCAGAGATACAATCCCGCACCCCCAAAATGAAATATATCATTCTGGCATATTTTAATCTACCGGGAATCTTTAATGTTAGGGGGGTGGGGTGCGGTTCTTGAATATCAGGCGAGGGAAGGTACTTTCCTGCAAAAGAACAGCTTCCAAGGTATGGCTATTTAGTTGTCTGTGCAATGCCCAAAATACTTTAATATACTATATATACTTGATATATATATATATACATTATATAATTATGTATATAATACAGTATATAGTTAAAATACTCTGTTTTATACTATATAGTCCTTATTCTGGGGACCCCCCCAAAAGGGTGTCCCACTAGCATGAACTTTCATTCTGGCTGGCTACATAGGTGTGGCGACGGCTCCAAGCTCTGCGTGTGGCGGTCTTCCAAAACAAAATGTGGCGGTAAAGGGGGGGGGAAGGGGGAGGGGAGAGGTTAGGGTTTACGGTTTGGGGTTTAGGGTTTAGGGGTTTAGGGGAGCGCCTCTCCGCTGTAAACCCTCCCCGTTCCCTAAATTGATGATGCCGCTCGACCACTCCCACCCCAAAAGCAAGCATTGCGAATAGCGTGCCGTCATAGGATGGGGAAGTTCCCTAATTATGCACCGCAATGGAGAAGATTGCAATGAAGCTCCAAGGAGCGGGCCCCCACTTGGAACCTACAAGGCTTGAGTTTTCCTTACGATTGCCCTGTACCCAAAACCCTAGACCTTCACGCTAAACCGCACCCATCATCTCGTAGACTCTGAGGCCCAGACACCCGAACCCAACCAGTAGTTTCCCTAAATAGGGGGACGTCAATAATTGACCCCCCTACGATTAAGCGTCCTGGTGGCTTGAGCCGAAGAAGAACCATCGTCCTGATGGCTGGGGTTTACTTTCGCTGTAGTTTTGTTGCCGCTCTCAATTTTTAAAGCGTAACTACGAGGAAAAGACGGGACTAGTAAACGCATTGTGAACTCAGGGAACGATATCAGAGGCGGACCAGTTTCCTTTTGATGTCAAGGTCAGGATATGGATAGTTTGCATTCGCCCATGATGACTTGCGAATGGTCGCTCGATTTATCGTGTCCCGTGTCCGACCTGCCTGCAACAAATGTGATTCGCGCCGTAACAGCACACAGATCAACAATGAGGAGACCCACACAAGCCGAAATGCGCAGGGCTTGTCTGACGGCTTCACTGGTTATGTGATCCCTGCAT